TCGTTCTTAAAGTGAAAAAAATGACGTAATAGTTGAATGATATATTGTAAGAGTGAGTACGATTAAGGTGTTCGAACGAATTAATATGTAAAATTGTTATAACTATACTAGATACATCAAATGGTATTAAAATCGAAGTAATAATAGAATTAAATAAAAAATAGTATGTTATCGATAGGTGATCGCTCGGACCCTACCGGTCAAGTGTTACACAGTACAAAAGTGAAATTAGTAGTAGTAGACTCACGGTCGCTTTATCGTAGGGATCCGCTAGTCGTAGTTGAACTCGTCTGGGCACGCTCGTACTGACGCTACAGTTCGCACACAGGTTGGTCGTGGAGGATCTCGGGAGAGATGCCTTATTGTAACTGACGAAGGAAAGCTCGCTGGCTTTATAAATTGAAGTTCCTCCCGGATAATTGAAGTAAGTGTAGGTGTGTGTAAGACTCAAAGACTTCCCGAACAAATGCACGGAACGCTCCGGGAGCATGGCTTTTATAAGGCTCCGGTGGGAGCTTCGCTCGTTTCCGGCGGCTTCCGACGGCGGTCGGCTCGCAGCGCCGAATTCCATAGCGACACGGTGTCCCGGGTTGGTAAATTTCAAAGGGATGCCTCTACGCTTCCCTATTCCGTTTGATGTGCTCGGGTGGTCGGATGACGTTACGCGTGGTGGCGTGATGCATAGTATTGCGATGATGTCATACTGGGCGCGTTTACTCGTGTCTGAGCGAGTTCGTTCGCTGATGTTCATATATTATTCAAATTTCCTATTAATTCCTTCGTCACTTATGGCCTTTGAGTGGTTATATGAATAGTCCGGAGTTAGTGCATTCTAAAAGGGCTGGTCAAGTTTTTGCGAAAAAGTGAAGGGAAAGCACTCGGAACGTAGTGCAAAGTTGTGAGAGGCCTGTCCTAAGGGGACAGGTTGGTTTAGGGCCATGTTATATCGCTATATTGTTTTGTTGTTTTTATAAGACTTTATTTCTACAACGAACTCTTTTTTATCTTTGGCCGTTTTTGACGAGTGAATTAGTAAGACTCGTTGCCTTAGTTAAAGTAAAATACATAATAATTAATTGAGGCTTGCTTTACGAGAGCTCACGATATTGTGGACTTCGGATTGTTGTCTTTAATATGTTTCTTAATGCTTAATTTTTTTTTGCTATTAATTAACTTCGCTTATTATATATTCTTTCCTTGTCTTTCAATATTGTGACTTCTTGTTTGGCGCTTTTCTATTCGGCGTGGTGCTTCGAAGGATTTAAGTACTATTTGGTTCGCATAATATTTTGTCTCAGATTAGCGCAAATCGTCCTCAGGTCAATGCGGCATTTAAGGATCGCGGTGGCGTGAAAAGTTAAAGATTTTTTAGGCTGGGACGTTACAGCGTTAACGGGGAAATGTCTAACACACCGTAATGGCGTCGTCGGTTGAGGATTACACAGAGATTAGCGACTTAGAGATTAAAAATGGCGAGAAGATGACCGAAGGAAATTGCGAAAACGAGCAAATCGATCTGTAAGAAATATCAAGCTTTGGTAAGATAGAGGAAGATACTGCGTTGAAAGACATTTTCAACCTGTTATCGAGCTTCTGAGACAGATTGTGGAACATATCATTCATATGAAACCTGGCGCATTGACCATACTGGGAAATGATGCATTATCGATCGAAGAGAAGAAATCAAAACGCAGCGCCAAACGCTTACTTGTTGCCTCTACACCGATCTACCCGAAAATCAAATGTCATGACGGATTCTCCTACGGTAACCTCCACGCCAACAGACAACTTGCATCGTACACAATTGAGCGAAATGTCTCCACTACGCGTTACTTTGACCACAAATAATGAAGATGTTTTCGAGACCACTGGCGATTCATTCGTAACATCGATTAGGCGTGATTTGTAAACATCTGAGGGACGTTACATTATATAGGAAACTTTACGCACCCATTTTGATCCACTGGGGCAAAAATATATGGTTTTAAATAGCGACAAACATACCATTGACTACGTGTACGGTGTGTATTTCAGCAGTAATGGAACAAATCTTGGCGATAAAAGTTTCGACGTGGATATTGACGGTAATATAATCATTGACGGTGTAAAGTACGCAGGAACACCTGAGCT